CAGACCAACTTTTGGGGACAGCCAACTTTTAAGGACAACCAACATATCGAAGCAGCCAATTTTTAAGGACAACCAACACATCAAGGTAGCCAATTTTTAGGGACAACCGACACATCGAGGCAACCAATTCGTCCTCTATTTAAAGGCAACCAACTTCAAGGGACAATCGACCATTGGTCTTATATTTCAAGGCAACCAATTTTAAGGGACAACCATTAGTCTTGTATTTCAAGCGAGCAAAACATTAGAGGTTTGACCACATCAATTTAATGAGAAACAAGTATTCCATTGATAAGATTAAAGATACGAAAAAAGGGAAGCCTCCGAGCATGAAGCCACCGAATGCATCACATCCGTGGGAGACCGCGCGATGAACCCTATTGTATTGCATGCAGGATCGGCATGGAACGAAACATGGGCTTCTAGCAAGCACCCCACAAAGGGTGTTCCAATAGAAGGGAACCAACCAAACGCAACGTTCCCATCGCGCAAGGTAATCAATGCAACGAACAGTCGCAACCATTCAAATTGCTTTGAGTAAAGTAAAGTCCAAATAATGAGGAGGTGTTGGCACTGACCGTTTGATGCCTGAGCTTCAAGCCTGTCAACCCACACAACCAAATCACCACTCATGCGTCGTACGTCCAACGACCTCGATCAACGCTCGACTATTTGCATTCCTGCAAGCAGGGCAAGGTGCAAAATCATCAGGCGAAGCCAAGCTCGCAACGTCGTACGCGGTCTAACAACCAACTGACACCTTTTAAATGTTCTTTCTTTATGATGAGAAAGCTCTTTCATCGAATGAGGGAGCGATCGCGAGCGACCTCGTCTTGCTTGAGGCAATCATGCTATGACTCCGCAGGCTTAGTTGTTTCTTATCATCTAAAGTCAACGAAAGGAACAACTAGGTGCAAGCATCGTCAAAGAAATCCTTCCTCAAGTTTGACTCAACGACCCGCTCTCTTCTCCCCCGCCCGATGGAGGTGCATGGGTGTAAATATGAACTAAGAGTGTTGGGTGACTAAGGAACCATTAGTCTTATATTTTGAGGAAACTAATTTTTAGAAATGTCGAGGCAGCAAATATTTAAGGACAATCAACATACCGAGGCAGCCAATTTTTAGGAACAACCGACACATAGATGCAACTTTTAGGGACAACTGACCATTGGTCTTATATTTCGAGGCAGCAAATTTTAAGGGACAACCAACATATCGATGAAACTATTGGCCATATATTTCGAGCCAACCAATTTTTAGGAAAATCCAACATATTAGACAACAAATATTAAGGGAAAACCTACCTATCAAGGCGACGGTAAGAAAGCGAATAATATTTCATGAAAATCAACATGTTGAGAAAGAATCATAATTTTTTTTATAAAAGAGAATTAAGGATAAACATAGGAAAATAAAATTAAACAAAAATGATGAGAAGTATTAATTAAGATAGTGCAACAAAAATTTAACAAGACAGGAACGTAAGTAACAAAAGAGGCAAGACAGGAACGGAAGTAACAAAAGTGGAGATGACGATTTTATATTAAAATGAAAAATAACAGTTTTCAAACTCTTAAAACTTTTGTAAATCAAAAAACGAGTTAAAAGAACTAAAATTAAAAAGGAATGAAGGAAAATAATGAAATGCCTATTAAATAAGACTACAACAAAACTAGTATTAAAGATACTTCATACTTTAGATATAAAAAACATCTAAAATAGAAGCAATAAAGAAGCTATGAGTTGATAACTAACCTGATTGCCATAGGCCACAACCTTCACAGAGTCTGGTAATGAATGAATGAGTTTGGTAATGATTGCCATAGGTCATCATCGAAAAGAATACTTTCCTGGTTCCCCGCCCTATCTGCTACTTTAATGATCTCGACTTGAATGTTTTTTACGTCACCCTCATCTAATAGAATGATTCCTACGTGGTTAGTCATGATTATGAATGAATTTTGCTCCTTAAATGAACATGTAAGTAAAAAAAAAGAATGATCTTATGCAACAATTATTTACCAGAAATGCAGTCGATAAGGGAGACAACAATGCTCTTGATGGAACCAACAGTTACCAGCAATAGAGGTTGTTTTCTCATGGCAGACTGCCCCAATGCCCTATAGAGCAAAGAGAACAATCAATTAAATTTTACAACGAAACTTGAAGAATATACCCTACCTGCGTAATGTGCATGGGAAAGAAATCTGCAAATATAACTTAAGCGGAGGTAGATACAGTCAATATTAATTTTTTCTGTTCTATTATACTACAATAGAAAACCCACAAAAGTTATTATAGAACAGTCAATATTAAACTGCCGCTCCACAATTTTCTTGCAAAAGAGGGATCTTTGAATAATCCATATTAGGATGACAACTTAAATCCAAGTATTTAGTTCCTTACAGTAGTTGTATAGCGACAATAAGAGTACAAAAAATAAAGAAAACTATGAGTGGAGAATACTTGTCATATCCACTTAAGTTACATAGCATCAAAAGTTGCTGACCTGTTAAGTGAGAGACATTGCTAGTATGAAACAGCTGGAAACTTCTGCTCCAGAAAGAGATAAAACAATGTATTCAAGGCACTCAACTCCACTCTTACAGAGAATTTGCTTTAGCGATCCACCTCCACACTTGGAAGACTTCCCTTATGTCAACCTAAATATATCTTCAATAATTGCTGCACAAACAGACAATACAATCGAGATACCTAGTAAGAAATATAATCACTCTATGCCACAGATATGTAGGATGGAAAATTCACAAACCACTTTCCACTGGACTTGTGCCTACCTCGTCAATCCTTGATGATTAATTTCTATGACCCTTCGTTGTTAATGGACATGCATCTTGATTATTGATCAATGTCTCCACTTTCCCCTATGATCAGACCTAAAAAAAAAAAAGAAAAAAAATCAACAAAATAGGAAAGATTGGTTGGGACCAGTATGTTGGAACGTAATCGTAGGCTTTCGAAGTCGTTACAGCCATAAGCAATAGAAACTCGTACGCAAAAATGTTGGAATGAACTCAATAATGCTGATCGTAAATTTGTAGTGCAGGGCTCTTCATCAGCGAACAAGAAAGGGAGTCCGATTTCGCGGCGTTGAAGAATGTCCATGAACAATGGCCGGAAGAATATCTCCAATTCCAGCAATGATCGAAAGAATCTGAACGACGACAGAGAGAAGTTGAGAAGAGGAATAAGGGACCAAAACGAGCGGGAGATCGAGAGGCCAAACGAAACCCTATATATAGGGCTTGCCAGCGTAATTTTGACGCAATGGCTTTGACCGAGTCAGACTTTGACTCTCTGCCAGCTAGCAATCCGTCAAAACAGCGTGAAATTCACTGGCTAACGACCAGTAAGATTTAAATTAATTTTTTATTTATGGCAAACCCTGGGAGAGGAGTGATTAACTAAATTTATTTATTTATTATTATTATTATTATTATTTTCTTTGAGAAAGATTTACTAAAAATTTTGTTTAGTAGACATAAACATTAAATATTTAGGTTTAACCGTCTAAATAAATATTTAGTTTTTTAACTAAAAACTTGTTTTTAATTGATTTTAATGTAGTACTAGTATTGAAAGATTATAAATTTGATTTCTATATATTAAATAATTACAATCAATTAATCCTCCCTAATAATTCTAAATGAAAAATTGATGATTTTAATTGAAAAGTGGAAGTCTAAAAGCATTATTTATTTTTTTCGAAAATACTTTTAAACTACTGGCTCAAAAGTAAAAATTTAAAAGCATAAGAATTAGAATTTTTTGCATGTGTTATCTTTTTTCCAACAATATTTTCCAACAAAAGGAATGATGTAGCAATGATTTATTAGAAATCCATTAATCCAAAATTGTTTCTATAAAGCTGTTTTCTAAGTAAATCATTCTTTGATTAAACAATTGATACAAGATTACGTATTTAGAAGTAAATTGATCGTCATAAATTTAGAATTATTTAAAAGAAAAACAACTTATTTATAATTCTTTTTCAAAAGAACAGGTTGGTTACGTGCATGTACATGATCATCCAGAAGAATAATGAATAAAATAATATTAGTAAAATTCTCAACCTTTAAAATTCTCACCTTCACAAAATGAAAAAAAAATACAAGTAATAAAGATGAGAAAAAAATTATAAATAATGAAGACCACCTATGCAAGAAAATCATTCAAAGCATCCAAAAAAAAATCATTTTTTTCGGTACATGGGAGAGGATTTAAACTCATGACTTTTTGATAAAAAACTGATAAAAAAACTAGTGACAATTACTGCTGAACTAAGATCATGTTGGCAAAAGGTGTCAAAGGTCTCATTCTTATGAGTGTCAAAATACCGATGAAGTGGCCATATAAAACGTATAAAATCGACAAGAAATTGGAGTAAGATGTAACAATTAAGCAACCATCATAGTTACTTAAGTTGAGTATATAAAGACGTACCCAGGGATACAAATGAGAAATAATAAAACCATGCATCCATGGCACTCAACTCCACTCAGCAACCTAACTTATGTCAACGTAAATGTATCTGCACGGGAAACAAAGGTAACCAAAAAATAAAGCATAACAGAGGAAATGAAGAATAACATGGATTATTACCATTCCCATAGTCGCCGAACATAATACAAGCTCTTTGATTTGATTCTCCGTGGCTACAATGAAGTTGTAAAAGCCTTCGAATCCTGCTGTATTGAGCCACAAATCCCAATGACGAAAGCCATGCGAAGTTTATCGTCGTTATTCAACCCAGTCCTCTTGCTCGTCCAAGGTTGTCTCATTAAAAAGGATGGATGAAAAAGAGCAAACGTTAGAGGACAACTTCACTAGATATAGTCTTACTTGTTGTCAAAAGTTTAATGGAAACAAAACATCGATTTTGTTCACATCAAATACTCAAAGCTACTTAAAAAGAGTGCAAATATGCGGCAAACCAAACTTTTCATTCACTTAAAAAACAAGAGATTTAAAGATGATGCAAATTTAAAACAGACGTTTGAGCTTAAAAGATATTTAAGCTTCTCTCCCAAGTGCCAATATATCACACCAAATGCAGCATCCATATATTCCCACTATTCTTGTGGCTAGTATATTATCCCAACTTTTCCAACATCTTAAAAGTAAAAAGAGAAGAGTTGTACAATAACATTCTTGAGCTTAATCGTTCTTATAATTTCTCAATCGAGTTTTACAATACTAAAACATAAATGAAGAGAATATGATAAATTTATTGTAATAAACAAATTTAAAACATTCAAAAGATGAGCTTCCATTTGCATATATAGTATAGTGTTCTCACCCAAGATCGAGACTGCTTCTTCGCGAGTGCACTCGGCTACTCAGCTACACAAGATGAAAACATAAATTGCAAGGATTACAAAGTTGCAAGACAAGATTTCTAACCTATGCTCTCAAAACAAAGATTTACAGACTGTACTGTACCAATTGTTGTAGGATTAGGAATGGCAGTCCTTTTACTGTTGGTCCTTTAAGAGAGTTTTCAATTCCTAAACACCTGTGATGTATAAGAAAATTGCAAAATATTAACAATTGGGTTATTGGTATTATCTATTTCTTAAATCATTTATAAGCCTTATACCAAAACTTGGGGTGGGGAGATGGGGAAGATTCATTCAAAGAAGAGTATGTTTATCCTTTCTTGAAAAGTGAAAAGGTAATATTAAGGCAACAAACGAATATTGGACATCAGTTATATTAGAGAAGAACCAAATGCTTAATAATACCTTGTGAACAATCCACGAACTGGAGATTTACAAGAAGCATACCAGGCTTCACATGTTGCAACTAATAATTAAGATGAACATTCTCAAGGAAAGAATGGAAACCAAAATATGACAATCATGAGACAATGTCATGTATCTTTGATTTCACTGCAATGGAAAAACATCAGCCTTTATTTCCGGGAGAAATAAAACAATGCATCCATGACAGTCAAAGTCCACACTGCTCTTAACTCTGAAGAGAACTTCCTTCAGCAGCCCAACTCCACAGTTGGAAGACTCACCCTTCTGCCAACCAAAATATATGTATATATACTTGCTAAACTGAAATGAAGGGAATGAAGGAAACATCCACCAACGTAAGCTTATAAATAAGTATTTGAAAGTTTATATGAAAGTATATATAGTGAAATAGGTGTTGAATTATGTATATTAAAAATAAACTAATTTTTTTGTTTAAATGATTAACAAAAAACTAATGGGCAAAATTAGAATACTTTTGTGCAAAATTTAGAGGATAAATAAAAAAATTTAAAGAACAAACAAAGTATTTCAAATTGGAGGACCACAGAGAGAAGTACAAAAGTTCAAGGATCATAATAGAAATTAAATTTATAGTCTATAATTCAATAGTAGGCCCAGGCATCAATTCTTAGAATAAAAACTTATCCTCTTATACCCTTTTCGATTACAAGACATAGCTGACTGGCGTTATAAAAATAATAAGACAATTTGATTTGTTAATTTTAATAAAGGGTATAAACTGTATAAGAAGCACAAACCCATATTTTATTCAAATTGAAAAGGACAAACATGTGTGTGTGCATCTATTCTTAGAGTAAAAACTTTTCCTCTTATACCCTTTCTGGTTATAAGACATAGTTGACCATCGTTATAAATATAATAAGACTGTGTGGAAGGATAAACCCATATTTTGTTCAAATTAAAAAGAACATGTGTGTGTGCATCAAAATCAGTCATGACCACGATCCATCTTGATTTCAAGTTCATCTTATGTGCTTTGTGCTTTTGTTAAGCGAATAATTGATACTTGCTATGCAAGCCATGGTCACGATCACCAAGTGCTAAAAGAAGAAGAAAGCAACGTACCAAAAGACAAGCATTTTCAGCAAAATGAAAGTTATTATTGAAACAAAATTGAAATGTAATTCATGCCTAGCAAGCCAGTGGTGAGTAGTTAACAAGGTAAGGGTTTAAAACATACAATGCTAGAATGGATAATCATTTAAAAAGTTTTCAATAAAACGTACTTAGATTTAAACATAAGATACTCCTTCCAAGATCTACCAACCCACAACCGAAAGATGTTTTCCATTGAACTGGATATTATTTCAACCATTAAAAAAGTTCATATTCTCCTGCTAGAACGCTTATCCTATCAAGGCTTAATAAGATCCATAGAAGAATCACAAGACTAACATCAAAGTATTAGTATAATAGAATGCCAACAATCCAAAAGTACATTTCCCTATTCAAATTGGAAAAACAACGCAACAATCACAGGTTTATATGGCTACAAAATTTATCATTAAAAAGAGGAGAAAGATACAAGAGGGCTGACTGAAATCAAGAAAATAAATTTAAGAAAAAAAACAAAAAGAAAGAATTTCCAGCTGGTTAAGAAAACTTTTAAAATGCTAGATAAAGAACAGAGAGAGAGAGAGAGAGAGAGAGAGAGAGTATATTGCATCATAAGAAAAATAATACAGGGCTGATTAAAATCAAGAAGATAAATTTAGGGGAAAAAACAAAAAAGAAAGAATCTCCAACTGGTTAAGAAAACTTTTAAAATGTTAGATAAAAGATAGAGAGAGAACGAAAGTAGATTGCATCATAAGAAAAATAATACACTCTTTCCTGATTGTAGAAAATTCCTCTACTTCTCTCACTCCAGAACTTCGAAGCAAAAAGATATAAATTGACTCTGCACTTGAAAGGATGAGCTGTGAATGCAATGAGCAAGAGAACTTCACTAGACAAAGGACAAGGCAAGTAGAAGTTGAGTGCCCTAAACAATTGACCCTAGAAACTTCAAGTTTAAATAACAATCAAAAAGATGTAATTAATATTTTCCTAGTTGTTTTATAAATGAAACACCATGAAAAGAAAAGGAGAAATGTTAGAATTCCTTGTACTCAATCGGGAAAAGTAATCTACACGAGAAGGACCCACAAATGTCCAACAACCACCACATCCTACTAAAACCCTCCATTGATTCTGTTGATGATTTCCGACAAGACCAGCATTTTTTGTCGAGCCTCCATCTCTCAAGGATTCAAAATATCTTCTAAAATTTATAAGCCTAAAAAACAAGAAGTGGGAACTAGCTCCTTATGATTTATTTATCATCAACGAGGATGAACAGTGATCTAAGAAAAAAGAACTTTGAGGACTCTCTACACACCATGCATTCTACACCAGCCAGCATAAATTATCGAGAAAAATATGAATAAATTGACAGTATAAGGATCCTGGGGGGAAGAAGTTCTGGAAGATCAAGAGAATGGCATGAAGAAGGAGAAGAAGGATGACGAGAATGGCAAACCTAAAGGATCAATGAGTTGCTCTGTAGACGTTAGGGTTTTAGGTGGGAGAATTTCTGGAAGATGAAGCCAGTCAAATTCAATCGCTATAAAGAAGAAGAGAGGTTATACGATACGTACCGCAAATTAATGCTAGAAACCAAAATGAAATCAAAACAGTAGTAAAAAACTTAGAAAAGTATCGAGAAACAGACAAAGATTCCCGACCTGTGACAATGAACATTGGCCGGAATACTGATCATCATTTTGTAGTGTAGGCCTCTTCATCAGTGAACAAGAAAGGGAGTTCGATTTCGCCGTGTTGAAGAATGCCAATGAACAATTCCCGGAAGCTAACTCCGATTTCTATCAATCATCAGAAGAATATCGCCGCTTTCTAACCCTAACCATTGCCGGAAGAATATCCCCGCTTCCTAACCCTAACCATTGCCGGAAGAATATCGGAAAGCTACATTCTACGGAGAAGGGACCAAACAGAGTGCGAGATCGAGTCGTGGGTGGGCAACTCTATATATAGGGTATGGGTATGCCAGCGTAACTTGGGCGCGATGGTTTTGACCGAGTCAAACTTTCCCTCTTGCCAACTGGCAATTCGTCAAAGCGCGATACTCTGCCAGCTGTATTTTATATTCCTAAAAATTAATAGGAGGGAGAGGAGAGAAATATACTGTTTCATATTATCGTTAATTTCTAAATTAAATTTAATTACTTTAAATTATTACTTATTTATTATCTAAGATGAATTTTTAATTAATTAAAATATTTTTCCACCAGCAAACCTATAAAAGAAACACGTACATTTAACTCTCTAATATTAGTTATCCTACATTTCCTGATACTTTATTTATTTAAGTCATACACATGTTTAACTCTCTATATTTATTTTGAAAAAAAAAATCTCAAATATTTAATATGTATTAAGCTTTAGGCAATTTGTCCTTTGGCTATTTTGTTTCTTCTTTTCTTCCATAGACGGTTTCCTCATAAAAAAATATATATATATATTTAAATTTTTTATGAAGATATGTACAAGTTGATTAGATACTAATCTAAACCACTAAAAAATTCAAGAAAAGAAAAGGTAGTGATAAGTTGAGATAATATATAGTATAAGAGATCAACAGAAGGAGTCCAACTACCAAGATGATCCATCTTGATTTGAAGTTCATAAGTGATACTTGCTATGCAAGCTATGACCACGATCTCCAAGTGCTAAAAAGAGAAGAAAGCAACATACAAAAGACAACTATTTTCAGCAAATGAAAGTTATTATTGAAACAAAATTGAAACTTAACTCACGCCTAGCAAGCCAGTGGTAAGTAGTTAATAAGACAAGGGTTCAAACATAGCCAGTGGTAAGTAGTTAATAAGGCAAGGGTTCAAACATACAAGGTTAGAATGTTATAATCATTTAAAAAAATTTCAATAAACGTAATTAGGTTTAACATAAGATACTCCTTAAAAAGATCTAGCAACCCACAGCCTAAAGATGTTTTCCATTGAACTGAATATTATTTTCTGCCATTTAAAAAGTTCATATACTTCTACAACTTATCCAAACAATGATTAATAAGATCCATATAAGAATCACAACTCACGCCAAAGGAACTAGTTCCTTTATCCATTAAGTAATATAATGCCAGCATCCCAAAAGTACATTTCCCTATTCAAATTGGAAAAACAACGCAACAATCACAGGCTTGTCATGGCTACAAAATTTACAGTATCAACAAAAGAGAGAAGCAACAAACTGATCAAAGTCTCTATCCTTGATTTTTTTTTTTTCTTTTCATTTTAAATGAAATTAAATGCAATAAGAAACGTTTTTGTAAAATAACTTCTCAAACTATTGATGCATAATGAAAATAAGTAACTACTAATTGTTGAAAGAAAAACACAACCTTCTGTCCAAATCAAACAGCAACAGATATTTCATTAAAAAAGTCCAAATGTGCTGCAAAAGACGTACATTTCAATCTCTTGGAAAAACGAGGGATTTCAATATGATGCTAATTGAACAACGATGTTTGAGCTTAAAAGACATTTTACGTTGTCCCCCCAGTGCCGTCAATTATTTTCACACCAAAGATCGAGAACAATGGTCGGACCATACCCATTGCTTGTGGTGAAGGATCCCCACCTGTGATTGCACTTAGCATAATGATCGTCATTTTGTAATTTAGCCTCAATTTGATTCCCGTTCTATCACCAAAGCAACAAGGAATTATTTTGTATTTTTACCATAATCTGCATACCAAATGTTCATGATCCAGAATGAGAAGTATTGCCTAACTTGCAACATTTTTTAGTCTAGCAACTCGTGAGATATTTGGTGCACCAAATAGGTTGCTCCAATTATTTATTCACCCATGGCCATAGGCTTCTTCACCAGTATCTTCCATCTCCCAAGTCACACATGAGACCTCACATATAACAGAAATTGATATTCATGATAGTTCTCTCCGGAAAAAAGTTAAATGATCAAGAAGATAACCAAGAAAATCTCTATTTGCCAAACCCCAGTACTTCACATGGTTAGTAAATCTAAACTAGCTATTAAAAATAAAACCTTTTGTCTTTACATATTTTATACAAAAAAAGATTAATGGTTGATTACCTTAGCATTTACGACCCAAACAACTTGGCTTCAAGCAACCTTAAATGCTGACACGTTGCTACCCAGCATCCTTTCTATGGCTTGCGTAGCCCATCAAATCTTGCTCTGCATCAATGGTATATAAGAATTTACAAAGTAACGTAAATCAAGTAATAGATAGAAGAGAAAATTATATGGTAAAAAATAATCTATGCTTAATTAGCTGACAGATAAAATAAAAAACGTTTGTTGTATGTTACTCCGAAAGAATCAAGTATTGAGGCAGTATCAAATATCAACACTATTATCATAGCCATCGGAAACTATAAATTGTATACTTCCACCCTAACATCTAGTCACACTCAATAGGAATGCAACTACCTTCCAGCAGAGCAGCACCAAAACCAATAATCTTTTGCTTTGGAAACTCAATCTTCAAGCTTCCCCTGTGTTCTCTACATTCTGGAAATTACAACTCCTGCTGATCCCTGAAGAAAATTTGACATTGCATTGTGAGTGCTTGATGATCATGGTACATTGGGTTGAGCGACAAAATATAGCTTTTCGAACCACAATGCCACTGTGTAGATTGGAAATTTTGCCAATCGATATTACACCATGACATTCTAAACATAAATAGTAAAGCTCACAATTCTGAAATAAATTGGTAGATCAACAAAATAATACAATAACATGGAACTACAAGAAAGTCAAACTTTGATAGGAAACATGTTTCATTGATAGTTTATAATACATAAAGAGGACCAAAAAAGAAAACAAGAAAGAATATAACGTAGATCAATCTAATCGCTGAATTTACTTTGATGTGAGTAATGGATCACATAAAACAGAGTCCAGCAACACGTCAGATATATAATGCACCAAGGAGGTTACTCCAATAATTAATTAACCCATGGCCAAAGGCTTTTTCGACAGTATCTTCCTTCATCCAAATCACGAGATCTCACATATGATTGAAATTGATATTGATAATAGTTCTCCACGAAAAAAGGCTCAATGTTCAAGAAGATAACCATGAAAATCTATATTTGCCAAAATACTATTTCTCATGGTTAAATTTAGAAACTATCAATACAAAGTTATTTTGTAATAAATCTAAATTTTGAGAATCGATGTTACAGCATCACATTCAAAACAACAAATACTACCAGGAAGACCAGCAGTTAAATTCTACACTAGCCACCATAAAATTTCGAGAAAGATATACATAAATTGACAACATAAAAATGTAAACAGCTAAAAGTTCAGGAAATGAAGAGGCCATACATACCTGCGGAGACCATGAAGGAGAAAGAGAAAAGTTCAACCAGTTGCTCTGTAGAGATTACTGCGTTTTGTGGGAGAAACCCTGGAAGATCAAGCCGGTCAAATTCCGTCGTTGCAAAGAACATTCACAATATGATGGAAAAGACGGAGAGAGATGTATTAGAAAAATATGAAACCAAGGAAAGAAACGGGAAGAGAACGAAATCAAAATAGTGGTGAAAACTGAAAAGCTTAGTGAACGCAAAGAATCTTGAGAAACAATAATCAGACTATGCCTGTACCTGTTGCTCCTGGTGAACGATCCCAGCCTGTGATAGAACCCGAACATTGAATAACGATCACCATCTTGTAGTGTTTGCATCGATCAGCAAAACTGAAAATTCGTTGAGCCAAACACCCCCTTAAAATTCACCCCGTGAAACAAAACCTACAATCCAGACAAGTGTTTTCCTCTCTTGCTAAAACACCTTATCGAAAAGTACTTTAGACTATCCAAATTACTTTTATCATTTTTCTAAATCACTTCTACTTCATTATCAAACTTTTTTTTTCTCTTTTGAAAAGTTCATTATCAAACGTATTTGAAATAGATTTTGATAGTCCTTACTAGAATGACTCAAGTGATTTTAGAAAATGACAAATCACTCTCCAAACATTTATCTAAAACCACTATTAATACGTGCAGTGTTTCAAAAGTTGAATGCTGTCACATTTCGCTGGTTATTCCATTTCTTTTAAATAAAAAAAATAAGATTACGCGTCCATGATTCCTGCAGCATGTGTGAGCTAAATCTAACTGCCCAAATTACGAGCTTCCTTTTTAATTTCAAAATTTAGGATCACATTCCGGTGGAAGTGATTGAATCCATATTCTCATTCTTTTTGTAATTATTTGGGTAAATATTTAAAAGACTAGAGCCTTCATGACTCCAACTCTCACCAAATTAACATCTATAAGATATATACACAAAAAATATTATTAGCATAAAGCTTATAAACAATATAAATTAAATATGATATCAATATACATAATACATTTGTCTAATATACATATTTACTTGTATAATTATTTGTACAGTCTATATTATCAAATGTCTTATCTTATGATATTGTTTCCATCACGATTTTTCTAATCATTCATGCATACGATAAAAGTTTACTATTATCGATAAAAAAAAAAGTTTACCTTATTATAAACTATCAATAAAACATAATCAATAAACATTAAACTTTAATTTCCTAATTCAAATAATTTTCATGATTTTGTTAGATATGATGGTTAAAAAGTGATGAATTATGAACTAATTAAGCTACAATTAAAATCTTATTTACCAATTCAAAAAAAATTTATCACCATCTACAATTTTTGTGATTTTTCTCAAAATATGTCGACACGTCTGTAAGTCGGGACCTAGATATTTCTATCGACGTCAACATTTCAAACCTTGATTATGTAAACTAATGCAAAGTTCGGCTCCACATTAATACGAGTGATTTCTACTTATCCTTAAGTAAACCAACTAATAAGAGAAATATATGATTAACTTATTAAACTACCCTGGTGCAACGCTGCAACCAAAGTCTGCAAGCCTAGGTTCTAGTTACCCCAACTACTCTTTTGCTTAAAAATACTCTAAGTAAACCAACAAGGAAAAAAACGTGGTTGGAAATGGATGCCCTTACTTGCAATTCTAATTGTCATCCCAACCAATGTTAAGTTAACAAAGTTATAATACTATTTTAGTCCCACTCTTATACAGAAGCTGGAGAGAAGCCTAAAAGATAAAAGGGAATTTCGGCAGAAGAGAACAAAATGTTGGGTGCCAACATTTGAAACCAGAAAAAGAAAACTTCAGGAGGAAGGAACTGCGGAGAAGAAATGGACAAATTACTCTACCCTCCTTCCAATTGCTACTTCCTTAAATATCAGCTCAAAAGCACAACAAAATTCCAAAATCGTACACAATTGAGTCTGAGAGACCATATAGGGTAGTAGAGGGAAGTGCAAAAGATAAAACATTTTCAGGATGATTCAGTTCGTCCATGCGATTACTTGGTAAGTAAGCCCTAACAAGTAATTACTTGGTAAGTAAGCCCTAACAAGTAATAACCGCAAACTTGCAAGTGTTTAAAGAATAAAAAAAGCACCCAAAAGAAGATAGACCTTTTTCATCAAAACAAAAGCTAACGATGAATCTGAAAAAGCAGAGCTAGGAATTTCATGACACGGAAGAAAACTAGAGTACAATTTTGAATGTTTAACATACTCAGAAGCCTAAAGGTGTTACACACTGCTGCAGAACTTATCCTTCAGGATTTGAATAATCCATATTAGGATGACAACTTAAATCAAAGTACTAGTTCCTTTCTCCACGAAGTCAATGGCAATTACAGGAGTTGTATAGCGACAATAAGAGTACATAACATACAAAAGACAACCATCTTCAACAAAATGGAAGTTATTATTGAAACAAAATTGAAATTTAACTCACACCTAGCAAGCCAGTGGTAAGTAATGAGGTAAGGGTTTCAATAAAAGTTTACATACAAGGCTAGAATGTTTTAATAATTTTTAAAGTTTTCAATAAAAAATACTTAGATTTAAACATAAGACACTCCTTCCAAAGATCTAGCAACCCACAGCCTAAAGATGTTTTCCATTGAACTAAATATTATTTCTACCATTTAAAAAGTTCATATATACTACTGCTAAAACTTATCCTAACGAGGGTTAATAAGATCCATAGAAGAATCACAACTATCAAAGTATTGGTTCTTTTATCTATTAAGTAATATAATGCCAATGCCCCAAAAGTACATTTCCCTGTTTAAATTGGGAAAACAACGCAACAATCACAGGCTTGTTATGACAAAATTTACAGTATCAACAAAAAAGAAAAGAAACAAACTGACCAAAGTCTCTATCTTTGATTTTTTTTTCTTTTCATTTTCAATGAAATAAAATGCAATAAGAAACATTTTTGTAAAATAACTTCTCAAACTATTGATGCATAATGAAAATAGGAATGAAAAGCATATGATGAATTTATTTTACATACCGAATTTAACATACTTTTAATGAGCTTCCATTTGAATATATAATGTTCTCACCCAAGATTGAGACTGCTTCTTCACGAGTGAAAACGTAATATTAAGGCAACAAATGATCAGTAGCGGCCATGAATTCTATTAGAGAAGAACCATGCTTAAAACCCTTTGAACAATCCACCAACTACAGACAATCCAAGAAGCACATCAGGCTTGTGAACCTAATATAAACATTCCCAAGGAAATAGTAGAGCATCAAAATATGACCATATAGGGATAATACAATAATGTCATGTGTCTTTGATTTCAATTAAATTGCAAAACATCAACCTCCAATTTAAATTAAAGCTTTGAATGCTATGGAAACATCGAGTACCAGTAAATTTCAAATTTAATCTTAAGAGTGCTTGGTTTATTTCATAAGTCGAATACATTGTAGAAACAAAAGCTTTCATTAAAAAGAGGAGAAAGATAAAAGAGGGCTGACTGAAATCAAGAAGATAAAATTTAGGGAAAAAAAAAACAGAAAAGAAAGAATCTCCAATTGGTTAAAGAAGACTTGTAAAATGTTAGATAAAAGACAGAGAGAGAGAGCGAAAATAGATTGCATCATAAGAAAACTAATACATTCTTTCCTGACTGTAGAAAATTCCTCTATTTCTATCTCTCCAGAGCTTCGAAGGGAAAAGATATAACTGACTCTGCACTTGAAAGGATGAGCTGTGAGTGCAATAAGCAAGAGAACTTCACTAGACATAGGACAAGGCAAGTAGAAGTTGAGTGCCCGAAACAATTGAACCTAGAAACTTCAAGTTTAAATAACAATCAAAAAGATATAATTACTATCTTCCTAGTTGTTTCCATAAATGGAACAACATGAAAAGAAAAAGAGAAATGTTAGAATTCCTTGTATTCAATTGGGAAAAGTAATCTACACGAGAAGGACTAAGGAGCCACAAATATCCAACAACCACCACATCCTAAAATCACTCTCCTGATATGTTGATGATTTTCGACAAGACCAGCATTTTTTTTGTCAAGCCTCCATCTCTATATCGTTCAGAAGATCTTATGAAATTCATGATCCTACAACAAGAGGTGGGAACTGGCTGACTGGCTCCTTATGGTTTACTTATTATCAGCGAGGTTGGAGAGTGATCTAAGAAAAAAGAGCTTTGAGGACTCTTTACACACCATGCATTCTACATTAGTCACCATAAATTATCGAGAAAAATAAGAATAAATTAACAACATAAGAATCCTGGGGGAACCATGAAGAAGGCGAAGAAGGATGACGAGAATGGCAAATCTAAAGGATCAATGAGTTGCTCTGTAGACGTTAGGGGTTTAGGTGGAAGAAGTTCTGGAAGATCAAGCCAGCCAAATTCAATCATTATAAAGAAGAAGAGAGGTTATACGATACCTACACAAATCAATGCAAGAAATCAAAATGAAATCAAAATAGTAGAGAAAAAACTTTAAAAAATAAGGAGAAATAACGATCGGACGAAGAATCCCGACCTGTGCCAATGAACAATGGCCGGAATACTGATCATCATTTTGTAGTGTAGGCCTCTTCATCAGTGAACAAGAAAGGGAGTTCGATCTCGCCGAGTTGAAGAATGCCAATGAACAATGGCCGGAAGCTGTCGCCAGTTACCAACAATCATCAGAAGAATATTGCCGCTTCCTAGCCCTAACCATGGTCGGAAGAATATCGACACAGAGAAGTTATGAACAGAGAAGGGACCAAACAGAGTGCGAAATGAAGCCGGGGAGGGCAACCCTATATAGGGTATGGTATGCCAGCGTAACTTGGACGCAATGGCTTTGACCGAGTCAAACTTGCCATCTTTGCCAGCTGGCAATCCGTCAAAGCGTGACTCTTTGCCAGCTGGATTTTTATTCCTAAAAATAATAGGAGGAAGAGGAGAGAAATATACTCTTTAATTTATAGTTAATCTCTCTAGATTAATTTTAATTACTTTAAATTATTGCTTATTTATTATCTAAGATGAATCTTTTTATTAACTAAAATATTTTTCCACCAGCAAACCTATAAAGCAAACACATACGTTTACCTCTCTGATATTAATTATCCTACATTTCCTAATACATATATTTAAGTCATAGATGTCTAACTTTCTAATATTTATTTTGAAAAAAAAAAAGAAACTCTCAAATATTTAATATATATTCACGCTTTAGACAATTTTCATATCCCTGGGCTATTTTGTTTCTTCTTTTCTCCAATAAAATATTTCTGTATATATATATTATGTTCCATACTAACCTGTTTAAATAAGATATGTACAAGTCGATTAGATATTAATCTACACAATTAAAAGATTAAAAAACAGAAGAGATCTTACATATCCTAATAAGTTGACTTATATTATGTTCCATACTAACCTGCTTAAATAAGATATGTACAAGTCGATTAGATATTAATCTAAACAATTAAAAGATT